CCCCAAAACCCCAAAACCCCAAAACCCCATAAAGTTAAATTGAATAGATTATGTCAGAATTGAAAATTGATCAAAAATCAATTATAATTTTAAAAAATTTTCAAATCTATTTCTAGTTCCAATGATTGAAATACTTTTAAAATTGGCAGAAATATATCCCTTAAATTCTCATGAATCACTAGTTTAATTTTAAGCCCATTGCACTCTAAATTTCTTTACAAATATCAAATAGTTGAAGTAAGTTAGATCTTCAGCAATTTTTTCGAATTATTCTATGCTTTCTTAAACAAATTAGTAAAATTTTGAGTAGAATTTGCGGACTTTACTTTTAACAATAGCATCAAATTTCAATTTCATCACTTCTGTCGTCATTATCCATCCAGAGTAAATTATGTAGTCCTTTGTATTTTCTCTAATATTCATATTAATAAAGTTTAATGTGCTACTTACTATGTCATTTCAAACTTTAACTGCTTGAAGTATTTTGTTTTGTTCCATAGGTCTTGGAGCTAAGCTCTCTTATTGTCTTTCTACCGATCAATATTGGCATAAATGATCAAGTAAGGTTCAAGAATTTTAAACAGAACTCTTTATGTTATTTCTAAACTGCCTGAATCAAGAAAAACAGCTGCTATCAAGCTCTCAAAAATATCTCCAAATATTTTCATATTACTCTCATGCAATTATTCAATATCGATTGGAAAAACTTCATTTTTTACTAGTAAATCATAAGTTTATTCCAAAGTAATTTCATGATCATTCTATTTAATATTTTGAATCAATTTCTTTAGATCAGTATCTTCATCCTTATGATAATTTAAGGTGAGAGCCGACTCATAAGTTTTTCTGCAATTGTATGCGTTAAGTCCAATAAATTTGATTGCATTTTATTTTGATGAACCCTTTCTCTTGAGATTTTCTTTTACTAGTTGAACGAAATTATCAATCTGTGATCTATATGTTTCTTATAGCTCATCAAATCGAATGAACTCATAAATATTTGTCTCAATAGTAATAAGACTTAGCATAGTGTTGTTGACAATTTATGATCTTAATTTGTGCAATTTTTCTGGATTCTAATTTTAGTTTTAGTCTTTAGTCACTCCCACAAAGTACTGTGTAACTAGTAATCCTAATATCTCATCACCGAGATACTCAAGCCGTTCATAGTTCTATATTTATTTAGTTTCAATCAGTTAGTCATTATCTGGATTAATAGATTGATTATCTTTTTAATTTTTGTTTTCGGTCAAAGATTTGTGAGTGAGAGCTACAATCGCTATTTATTTGTACTTGAATTCGTAATTTAATATCTCTTCTAGCTTAAAGATTTGGGTTATTTCATTAGCGTCTATTGAGATCTTGTCGAATTCGCTCATCAGCTTATTTCTATTTTCTGCATACTCACTCAAGGAGTAACCAAGTATATTGAATTTATTCTTTAGAAATTCGTGAGCTTATTCTAGTCCGGCCTCTTGAGTTACTGCTCCAATAACAGATTCCATTTAATCTGCAAGCTATTTAGTTTAAAATTACTTTTAATTAAAATCTTCCTTTTTTATTACTTTTCACCTCTTATTTTCTTCTTTTTTATATTTAAACTCAAATTTTTCTAATATTTCTTAGGATATATCAAGTTTAAGTTTTTTAAGTGTGATTCCTAATTTCTAAATCAATCTAATCCCTATTCTTTCGAGAAGTTAATCTTGAATTATCTAGTCATCATTCTTTAAAAATAGTTTTAATTTCTCTTCAATTACTATTTTTTGGGCTTATTTGTGTTTTATTAATTAGAAAGCATTTTATTTAGTTAAAATGCATTTAAGCAATTCCTCATATTCACTGTTAAACTCATCTATATCATCTTAGCTTTCATTACAATTTTTTAAGATAAATAACTGCCGTTTTATTTGGATAATCTTAGTTTGAAACTCATTGAGGTATTTTTGCTTTAAATTTTAATGATAATCAATAGGGTCAAAATCTGCAGGAACAACATCATTAAATATCTTATTCTGATCCATAACTAAGTACTTAAATAGCTAAGTTCTTATATTTATCTATGCAAGATTTTAGTTTTATACAATTTTTACTCTCCAATAATTTAAATCCTTCTCAGTCCAAGTTTAATCACCACATATGAAAAGTTCTAGCACAACCAAGAAATTTAAAACAGTTTCTCCGTAGAACTCAAGTCTTTCATAATTATACTACTTTCTTACGGTCGATGATGTTAATGCTTCTCGAATAGCCTAAGGATTCCAAAGTAAGTAATCTTCAAAAGTCTTAAATTCTTCAATTTGATTCTCTTCTCTTACTCTTATAGTCTACCTTAAACTTAGTCCTTATTCTTTGCTTTTCTCCTAATTATTGATAATTATTGGACATCTTAGGTAAGACTTAATAAATTTTCTAATAATTTTGGAATCATTTAGTTCGGAAACATGATAGCAAATACTTTAGAGAGATTAATATCTTTCGTTGTCAAAAGGAGTCATATTAAGATTTTATGATGTAAAATCAAAAAGATCCGCATTAGTATCATCTTCTCCAGACTAATTTTATGATTAATTTTATCCATCTTTGGCAGGAATTTCATAATAATATTCCTAAAAGCTTTTCTATTTTTTGCAGTAGTATATTAATGGACACTCCTCTTTATTAAGAAAAATAGCATTATAAAGAAATGAATGCTCATGTACTGATAAATTTATTCCATGCTTGGATATTAAAAATTTATCTGTTTATTTAGGAAACATTTTAGCTATTTAGCTCGGAACCAATTAAATTCTTTTAATATCCCATTATGTTATATTAATGTCATGGTTATATTTTTAATATTCTATAGTAGTTTTACTTTCTTCTTTTAGTTAATTGAATTAATCTAATTAGTTTCTTAAGCCTTAAGTAAAAGCAGAATGATGCTTAGATTTAGAGAGGTCTTTCAAAAGAAATTTATTATGATTTAACGTGCTTTCAAAGATTTGGTTGAACCTTTT